CGGGATGGGAGAGGAGAGGTTGCCGAGAATCGTATGGGAGGCGAAGTGGGCAAACAAAAAGAGGGGTAGACAACCCATGGAATGGGTCAAGGTTGTAGAGGACGTATGGAAGGGGCTCGACATCGACGAAGATGAAACGCTGGAAACGGAGGGTCTACAGGGAATCAAGGAGAAGATATCTGTTGCTTGTGCCGAGAGAGAAGAACAGAATCTAAGGAAAGAATCCAGGGATAAGGAGGATCTAGAAGTGTACGGAATGTTGAAGGAAGGATTAGGGTTCAAGGATTACCCGCATGGACCAATGGATGCAGGAACAAAGCTTAAGGTCAAATTCAGGACCAGGGACATAGTCCTTCGAGAACGTCGACGAAGACATAGGACGGTAGACGAGGAAGACGACGACTTCAAATGTGATTGCGGCTTCGAATGCGACGACCGTGTTCATGTAGTCGCGGAATGTCCGTTGTACAAGAAGGAGAGGGAAGTGTACGTGACTGAGCTGGAACAAATAGATAGGACGTACAGGGAGATGTTTGAGGCATGGAATAGAGAGGAAAGGACGGTAGCTGTACTGGGGCATAGGAGGTGGGTTGAAAAGGCGGGAAGAGATATCGTTAGGATAGACAGACTTGGGAAGACATTTTTGAGCCACCTTTGGCAAAGTAGAAAGGAACGACTGGCCATCGGTGATCGGTCCTGTGGGAACAATGCTCCGTCCTCTCGAGGACGCGTGGTCAATGGTCTAACCGCTAAGGCATGCAAACATAAGAGTACGTCCCCCCCCCCCACCCACTTATGTCGTACAGCTCACCTCGGGCAACCACAACTCATCTATACGATCACCTGTGTCCCACAGATCACATCGGGCAACTACATATATAAATCACCCATCCATGCCCTACAGATCAAGATCAACATGGAGAAACCTACACAGATCACCTATGTCCTACCGATGACGAGGGGCATACCCTTCAAAAGAGCTACAGTAGCTCGGTCCTACAGCGGGACAGCAGTTACCTGGTGTACGACACAAGATAACACACACTCCAGACCGGGTTTACAAGTTCGATTACTCCACGACGCAGAGGGTGCATAAACGAAACGATACGCTTTCGGAGAGCTGTCGGCCAGACGGCTTCAAGGCCGCCGTTTTCGGGAATGCGACACTTTTCTGCTGTTGATTAATTCAGCTTTGACAAGCGCGGTTCAGGGCGTGGTTTTCAAGTGTCGTATCATCCACGTGCGGGACAATAGCCTGTGTGAAAATAATCAATTGAACATATTGAATTACAGAGGTGTGTCTGGCGAGACAAAATCCCAACCGCTGCTCTGTGCGACATGTATGGTTTCTTGCTTGCACAATACTTCCCGACTGGCCTTGTGTAGCTGGGTGCTCGTTCGGTCTTCTAAATCAGTAGCTGTTTCAGTGTGGTACTATACTGCCGCTGCTGCTGCGGAGTTTTGTTTGTTTGTTCGTTATCTCTCATCATTGGATTCTGTCGTCTGCCCTTCTGGCCCCTAACCTCCACTTCTACCAGCTAGACGACCCAACCGGGGTCACATAGGAGGGGGGGGTTGGACCCCCTCCTGGTTCCTGCCTGAGATAATTTTATCGCGAGTAGGAAGCAAGCGTTGGATATTCTTCAGCGATGTATACATTAATAGTACTTCTTGAAGATATAAATATATAACAGGAGACCTAAATTGGGTTCACCGTTTTCGCTGCCGCGAAGAAATCAATGTGCTCAGAATATCAAGCAGAGAGAACAAGGCCGAGGAGAGCTACACAGGTAGCACAAGCACCCAATACGGCTGCATCGCTGCTGGTGCCCATCGACGACCTCGGCGATCCATCCAGCAAGAGATATCACTTCAAATAAAAACCGTATTTGTCCGAATTTTCAGAACTGACATGAAATGGCAACTACCCGCTCAAGGGCTCAAGGGCATAGGATCGTTTCCTTGCCGCCTTAGGTCTGAACGTACGCCAGGAGACAGGAGAGAGAGGTGGATCATCTGGAGTCGCGCGTGAGTGAGCGAAAACCCAAAGGAGAGGGAGAGCCAGATCTATTTATCTGTGGTAAAGTACCCAAACCGAAACCTGAGACCGGGAAGATAGACTGCTGTACGCGTAGGCTTGAACTACAAGAGGGAGGTCTGCCAAGACTTGGTTGGCAGGGTATGCCGGGAATAGATGATAGCACGAAGGCGGTAGCACGCAAATGCGAGCTGGCTCTCCGAGGGTTAACGAACGATCCGCGGGTGGGTCTAGGATGGGCTCTCCTTTCATGTCAAATCACAAAAATCTCAATTCTGTACTCACAAGATCGCGATGGCTGTGATGCGCTCTCGGGACGTTGAATTGTACCAAAGGAATCCCCAAGCCCGTCGTACGCGATCCAGGTGGAGCAAGCTGCGCGATTCCGCCTCGAGGCACCCCAGCGCCCTGCGTGGTTTGGTTTTGGCGAGGGGCGGCAGGAAACTCGAAACTCGATAGGAGGGGGACAACAACCAAGATATTTGAAATGCAGGGGGGAGCTCAATATATCGGTGCCCCCGCCCTTGTACCGCAGTGTACCGCGTCACCCCTATGGAAGATGACAATATAAAGAGCTTCGCTCTATATTGTCATCTTCCATAGCGTCACCCAGAGCAACGCATTGCTCTCCTTGGTCCTTCTGTCTGTCTCACATACATAGCTGGTGATGGGTGCTCATCGACGACGTATCTTACGCCAACGGGGTGCCAGGAAGCGTCACGTCAAGTCTCCCGACACAACCTCGCTCGAAGGTGATACTGATTGCGGCGAAGATGGCTCCCTGGGATCTTGTTGGGAAGAGCCAGCGTCGCGAAGGCTCTCCCGCGGCACGCTCATCCGTCATCATCCTGTGCCTTGCAGCAGCAGTCATGGTACCGACAATGGCAACAGGAGAATGGTGCCGCCGTATCACTCAGGGGCTGCCTGCGCGGAGATGATCGGCTACGCGAGAAGGCTGTCTCCTTCCCACGAGGTACTTTTGTGTGTGCATGTGATCGCACCGCAGTAGTCTATCCCAAAGACAACAAGATCACGTACGAAGTCTGCTGCGTACAGCAGTGTAGTACACCAGTGTAACCTTTTGAGTGTTTCGTGTATTTTCTGAAATCACCTGTGTTCATCTCTGCGCGTGCATGTCAATGCCGGCTGTTGTCTGGCCTCTTTGTGCCAAGAACAATATCATTACAATAGATAAGGCGGTGTGTGTGTGACGCGCCACGTTGGTTCCGTCCGTCGCACGGGCGGCCTACGGCCGAATACTATGCAGAGGCTGACAAAAGGCGATAACGTTTGTTCTTTGGTGCGAATGTACTTCGTACAACTGTTGCGGTAGTCTACTTATTCTGCGTTCATCATCGTTGTTGCATGCAAATACATGTAAACGGCGAAACTGGAAATCGACACCTTCCTGTGGGAAAGGTTTTCGCCGTTAGGTTTGTGACAGAGGTTGCTGCTGTGTCTGACCTTGTAGACAACACACAACCTGTTCGTGTGAGTGCGTGCGTGGTCGGATCTGTAGACGAGATGACTGTTTCAGGTGTCCTACACATAGGTATGCGTTGGGTACAGTATTACGACCAGAGAATGACTGAACGGAGCCCCCACGTCATGTGTCGTGTGGGACTCTCTGCTCTCTTTCCCCCCAACAGGGTGTGATATCAAGCATCTTAACATCAAGCACTACAGCTGCTAGCTGCTACAGGGACTTCAAGGTCATACCACTTAGGGTTCACGAATACAACACACCCCTAAGGATTCTGCAGATCAACAACTCGTCACTAATCTCAAAAGACGCACCAGAGCGCACGCACGTCTACACGGCAATAAAAGGCATCGAATACTGCGTATTTCGCCCAGAACAAGGGCTGAGGATAGGGCTCCCGCTCTGTCTAAATGTAATCGTCGGCGAACCAAGAGGAGTCCCGTACACGGCTACTTCTCGAAGACTCGTCTGCAACCCCCCGCCCCTCGCTCCCCGCCCCCTACCCAGACCCCTCTGTGTAGATGCCTTTGTCACACGCCCTCGCCAACTTGCGCGGGATATAGCACACCTTGCGCAGTGTTGTTGTTGTTGTTGTTGTTGTTGTTTCTCACATTAGCTCTACAGTCCACAAAAAATGGGGAGCCCATGGTCTCAAAACCCGGCACATACGACGCCGCGAGAAAACAAAAAAAACAAAAATAGGGTACAAACAACTCGGAAAAAGAAAACAAAATGATAGAAAGAAAAGAACAGGTATCGCACCTACTGTTCGAGAAAAGAGCCCTCGGACACCGATCAAAATAAAACAAAACAAAAAAACAGAAAAATAAAGGAGGACGCTTCCCACACCCGCCGAAAGAAAAAATCAAAGGGTAACGTACCAGCGCCAGGCACTGCGCACCAGGGCATGGGAGTAACGGAGCAAACAGGGCAAAGAGGCGGCAGATCGGCAGACAGCCAGACTTACAAAAACAAAGGCAACAGCAAAGCGAGATCAAGGTACCCAACACAGCAGAGTAGGCAGGGAGGTCATGAAAACATGAAACACAGCACAGAGGCCGAAGGCAATAAAAAGGACATACATAAAGGAGTATAGCATACGGCAGGGAGGGAAACAGGGCGCAACAACAGCCGGGTACATAGTTCGCCACAAGCGCTGCCTCGGCCGCCCTACTCGATTCTACAGCAGTTCCCGTTCGCCGTTTCTTCCCCCCCACCGCCGCTTCGCCGGTTCTCTTTCTCTTCGGTCCTGAGATGGTCGTACTCTCTGCTTTTGCTTCCCTCGCGCGCTGGCGCTTCGCGGACGCTTCCGCCTCCTGTCTGTACCATTTCCTCATGAACCATGCCGCCCCGTCCTCGACCTTGTTGTACCACACCTCCGAGTCCTTGGCGCTCTCTTTCCATTTCCCCCCTTCCTTTTCGTCTCCCATGTTGAAGGCCACGAGGTCCTCTCCTAGACGAGACACCCGGTCGCTCTCCTGCCCACCCCGGTATCCCACGCCCCCCGCCATCGCTCCTAACAGCATGCGCTTGGGGAGGCGGCTGTCCTCCATGAGTGTGTTGCACTCCCAATACGTTGTACGCACTTCCTTCCGCGACCACACTCTTCCCATTTGTGCTGTTGCAATGTCTTCAGGCCGCCCTTGGCGGACTACGGCAGTGGTTAACGCGCGAGTCCGTGAATATATCGCCGCTCCTCGGGGACGTGGGGTTGGCGCTGGCGGTCAGCTGTCCTCCGGAGGAAGAAGACCTGGTGCTGCTGCGTTTTCTCCGCCACAATGCCTGGGACGTGGAGTTGACACGGGCCCAGGTACGTTTGCAAGGGGTTTTTATGTTGGCGGCGGGCTGTGATTGACTCCTGAACGGCTGTATAACTTCTTCCATGCAAAGTCTGACCCATCTTGCGGTTTTGGTTGGTCAGGCGGTCTACTGTAGATTTCGACAAATGTACACAAGTGTGTATGTTTCTTGCTGGGATTATCCTGGGATTTTTGTCTATCGTCTACCCCCCCCGCCCTGTTTTTTCTTGGACCCACCTGCAGGATCCCGTCCGCGGGTATTGGCTGTCTTTCGGGTTGATTCTCCTACAGTATAATAAACATTAATGTAAAATATTACCCTTATACCTATGTAATAGCCACGCAAGCACCGATGCAATCCAGTACAACAGCGTGTCCCACCAACCTCATCCTCCGTCCCACGTTTCTCCTCTCTTCTTTCCCGCGTCAAGAAAATGGGTGCCGTTTTTTTACCACCAAACCTCTCCGGCACGAACAATTTACCCTCTCCCACCGTAAACACCAGAAAGTGAGAAACGTGTTCCAAACATCAACAACAAGTGACAACACCACCACCACCACCACCAACAACAACAACAACAACAAAATTTCACAGCTTGAGGCCAGTCTATCGTGGAGAATCGAAACTGGCGTCGCGAGCAACGCACGCCGAGAGCCGTGGGAGGTTAGCGGGTGCGCTAGCAAGGAAGCATTTGAGGAGCTTTGCCGGACGCACTATCCTCACTACACCATTGGAACAGACCGTGCCGGGAGGCCCATTCTCGTCCAGAAGGTGAAGCTATGGAGGTGGTGGAGGGGCAAGTGGTGGTGAAGGAGGACGCTTGTTGCTGGTGATGGCCTTGTGTGATGGACTCGGCTTGCTGCTGGAAACTCGCGGGTATCAACTGCTGTATATTAACGCCTACAGCGTGCTGAGTGCCATCTGTGGTGGTGGCTATTCGGTGCTCTTCAGAAAGAACGTTCCGTGCTACAGGCACACCAGAACCTTGAATGCGACAAACTCCACACGCGTTCCCCTGATGCAACACGCGTGTGCCATGCGAGTTGGTTTGTGTTTGCTACCTCTTCCGGAGGGAGCTGTCCTGTCGTTCGGATCGTTCCATCTCTTTCTCCTTGCTGCGTTAGCTTCTCTGTGCATCATACGTTGTAGCTCCTTTGTATTTATTTTTTGGTCTTCTCTTTGTGCTCCCGCCTTACTCTCTCGTACCTATCTCTTGAGGACTGTCCTCACCTCCCGCCCCCTCTTCTCTGTCGCACGTAATACCCCCGCGTTTGTGCCACCCCCCCCCCATCTCCTAACCCCCCTCGGTGTTTGCCATCGGGATTGGGTTTTCGTCGCTTGGCAACGACGTTGTAAAACAAGCCAATTCACTTCGTGAGCTCGGCAACCAGGTTACCGTTTTTTTTATTTTACCTCTTTTTTTTGCCGCAACCATAATTGTGGACGAGTAGATCATGTTGTGCGGGGTGGAGAAGCCTCACTCCGCGCAAGGGGGATGATCGCACCACGTTGTGTTAAAATGGTCAAGCACCCTCGAGGCAGTTACACAGTGCTTTCAACTGTTGCTGGAAGTGAAAGCACCAGAAAATGAATTACGTCATACGCAGCTGTCATCCGTCCGCAAGCAAGTCAGCACAAGATGCCGAACAGCCTTAGCAGGATGCAGCGCACCCTTCATGCGACTGGCCCAATA